CATATAACTTACAGTTTCTTCTTCTTCTTCTTCTTCTTCTTCGTCGTCGTCGTCGTCATCATCATCATCTTCTTTTTCTTCTTCTTCGTCCTTTGTTTTTTTTACCACTTCCACTTTCTCTAGTATATCTACTGCTTCCACATGCACCTGCATGTTCTGGTCCCATTCATTCTGGATAGAATGTCTTATTATAAGGCCATTGAAATTCCTGTTTAAATTCTTGTTGGGATTACATGTGACCAATGAAATTATAGTTACATTATCGTATGGTATCGTTTTTTTATAGTATTGATGGTTATTTCAATTTGCGTGCATGTTTTATTTGATTATTCGTGTGTTTGTAATTTTTTCGATATTTAATTATTTTTGTGTTTGGAATTTATTCGCGTTTGAATTATATTATATTCAGTTTAGCTATTTAGATTTGTACGTTAGACCCACCATTATTTAATAAATTAGAATGTTGGACCATGATACTGTGTGTCATTGAGCCTAACAAATTGGTTTTTGTCTTTTATCAAGTGTTCCTTGAATCACAAGTTAGAACACTTAAATCAACGTGTTGAATTGCTTGATTCAAATCTTGTACATTGTATGCTACAAATCATACAATTTATGAAAATTGGAATTTGGTGTTGTGTGATTTGATTTGAATCACAAGTTTAATTTGACTCAACCATAGCTTTCCATGAAAGCAAGATTTTGGCATTGTCAGATTTGATTCGAATCATACATTACAAGTGACTCGAATCACAACCCAATATGACTAGAATCATGGTTTACACTTGACTCAAATCTTAGACTGAATAATGATTCAAATCATAACCTCAAAATTCCAAAATTCCACCTTGGATTTAAATAATTGTTTCTTTGATCCAAGCACATGAATTCTCATTTTTGAACTTTTTCATGATGAAAGAATTGTTGAAACTTTTGTTAGACTAAATGTCAATTTGTTTCTTCTTCTCCAGTGTGTTCATTCATAGCACATTTGTATTTTTCTTTTGTTTCAGAAGAACAACTTTTTGAGTGTAATTCATAAGATATTGAATCTCATATTTGTTACACTTTGTGTGTGTAATTTTTTATTGAGGAAAATCAGAGAAAGAGAGATGATCAATCTTGTAATGATTCAATTTTGATCAGCCTCATGATAACCATCAAGGCCTAAGACCCATTTTCATCTAGAAACTTAATACCTTGTGACTAACATCCTATAAAGTAGATGCTGTGAGAATTAGTGTGTGCGCGTGAAATTCTCGTAGAAAGAAGACTAACTGTTTCGATCTACAGTTTGTGGAATAGGGACTAACTGCTTCAATTTACTGTTTGTGGAAAGGGGACTAACCGTTTCAGTCCACCACTGGAAAGAGAAGACTCAATTGATAAATTTCAAGTCTTGCTGTTTAGATTTTTTCCTAGTATAAGGAGGTTCGTGAGTTGTACCTACTAAAATCTATCAAAGCTTTTTGGATACCCTCAAGATAAATTCTTTGTGAGTGAAGTAGGTTGTTTTCTTCTTTGACCAAACCTCTATACATCATGGTGTTTATCTCTTTTCCTTAAATCTTTATATTCCGTAATTTATTTTCCGCTGCTTATTACTTAAACGTTTTTCAAAGTGCTTTTAAACTCTAATTTTAATCTGCAAAATTTTTCAAAACCATGTTTTTTGGGACCGCACAATTCACCCTCTCTTGTGTGGGAAGTCGCATGTTCAACAAGTGACATCAGATTATAACTCATATTTAAAGGCTAATTGTCTCAGGAGGAAGATCACTTCTGACAAAAGATCTTTTCTAAACACACCACCATTTTTCAATGATAGTAGATTTGATATTTTAAAAACTAGGTTTAGAATGTTTTTACAAAGCATAGATCATGAGTTGTGAAAAACAATAGTTAATAGTCTGTTTTTTTCCTACTCATCACGTAAATGATGAAGTAGTAAATAAATTTGACTCCCTTTGGACCGAAGAGGAAAAGAGAAAATATAAAATCTATTAGATACAACTATGTCTCTAGATGATAGCAAAAAAATTTATTTTCATCTTTGTAAAATCGCTAAGAAAATGTGAAATACTCTTAAAATGATATATGGAGTTCTTCTAAGAAAATGTGAGATACTATTAAAATGATAACAAATTCTTTTATGTTCATGACTTTTCATGCTAGGTTCAACCCTTCAAAATCCCATCAATGACATAACAACATAAACACATAAACATAATTATACGCACACGAAATCAGTCATGAAAATTGAATATATACAGCTTACATCATCAATTTATAGAACAACATGTAACAACAAGAATTCATGAGATTTTCATATAATCTTTAAAGAGATTAAGGGTCTATTTTATCTACCATATCATGCAATACACCCATATCAAAACCTTTTCTCCCCTTACCTTAACTTTCTTGCAAAAATTCAGAATTGATCAAAGTTGTTCTTTCCTCTTCAAGCCCTAACTTTGTTCTTGCCTCTTTTCCCAAAATCATGTTTTCATGTACTCTTTTATTTCAAAACTCTACTAACCACTATTTATCTCTAACCTAATTTTTAATATTTTAAAAATTATACTAAAGCTCAACTCTTCTAATTTTATTCACCATTTCCCCTCTTTCTCCTTATTTCCTATTTTTCACCCAAAAGTCTCTTTTCTCAATTATTTTAATTAATTAATTAAAAATAATTATTTATTCTAATTATTTCCAATTAATTTAATTATTCCAATCCTTCTACCACCCTACAAAGCTCTCACTATATCTCACCAATACCCCACATCCATATACAACTCAATATACATATTTAATTAAAAGCACATCAAATACCAATTAATTAATTAAAATACAAATAATTTGATTAAATAAATTAATCAAATTCCAGAGTGTTACAGTTTACGTGAGCATCTTTCCTTCTTTTGCTTACTATGAATAGATCCAGATTTCTTACCATCAAATAAACTTCATCCGCTATTTCTTTCTTTTTGATAAAGTCAAAACTCCAAGGTCCTTGCCATTCAATTGTAGCTTTTAAATTAAAACATTCCTTAGACCGATCATCTTCACCCATCCGACCTCAATTTATTGATAATGCATTTATCGATTTTCAACAATCTTCCTTTAACTGAAGCAAGCTTCCCAAAAAGCCTCACATTCCCTGAATGTAACAATATAGCATGAAAACGTACCCACATTCCTCTTTCATAAACCGCATCACTATTCTTTGACCAAGTACGACAATCATATACAAAAGTGCTAAAAAAATCAGTCGCTTCATTAAAAATAGACATCACCTCTGTTGTGCCCATAAATTACAATTTTTTTGTCTCCTCCCAACCGTGCCACCATAAAACCATGAAACTCAACATCTGAAATAGTCTATTGAATAACCAGAACACTAACAACATTTTGAATTCTAGCCATCACACCATTGCGTGCCCAATCAATAATGTCTTTAGGATCATCCTCATAACTTCTACCAACCAGAACCACATATTCTTTTCCCTCGTCGTCCCCCTCCAACTTCTTACTTTACCTTCCACTAGCTATGCGTACGAAACCACCCTACCATTCACCTTTGAACAACTCAGGTCCTTCTCCCTTTCCTTTTGCACCTTACTTACCATTCTCTTATCAGTCGCCACTCTTAGTTTTTCCTTTTCCTCTCTGTTCCTTACATCCTCCTCATTCACCATATCCAACTCCTTCTTCCTCCTAATCCCAAACTATGCCTCCTTCATCCCATTCTCCCTCAAGTAATTTTTTTCCTCATATCTCAACATTTTTCTCTCTCACCCGCCCTCAAGATTCTCCTATGAAACTTCTCAAACTTGTCATAACGAGACACATTCGCAAACATTCGATAATCTCTGAAATAAACATTTAAAGTTTTGCTCAAAATTTCCACATCCCTCCCATTAGCAAACTGCGCAAACCCAAACAATTGCCACCTTGCCTTTCTATTTCGAGAAATAAACACATCGGACAAAATTCCACATACATCTAGTTCCCTTCGTAATTCGGCATACGGGAGATGATTTGGAATATTGGAAAAATAGAAAGAAGCCATTATTGCTCAAGGTGGTTCCACACATACGTCTTTCATACTAAATTGACTACCACAATTGCATCTATACGTATAGAGCTTTGCATGACTCAAAGCTCTCTGCGTACATGATCTTCCCTTAGTAACAACAATCATAGAATGATCAAATCGAAACTTGTTATGAATTGCACCTTCATGATTGCCATAGCCATTCAAACTTACTCCTACTATGCGGTTAAATGTCTCATACATGTCATATAGGCATTTCTAACTATAACCTGCACAACTCTCGTGATATCTTCCTCCCTGTCGTGTGAAATTCATCATGTTATCCAGTCATTTAGATTCTGATCGAATCGCTTTCCGTCTTTTTGCCCTAACCTCAATCCATTATCCCATCCCCTTGTTTGTGCTACCCTGCCTGAATTCCTCCATCCTTTAAGAGCCTCGTCGCCGATGAAGAAATGTGCAACGACCTGAGACCAAATTTGAAATGTTCACTCTCTCGCCCTAAAACCCTAGCGGTCGTTATTCTTTTAGTAGAATTTCCATAATTTATATAGAACATATTTTTTTCTATAAATGAAACCTGGAAATATAACTATTTAACATAAATTTCTAAAAATATATTTATTCACAAAATGCTACAAATAAAAAGATAATTACTTTAAAAAAAATTCACTTTAGATTAAATTGTGTTTTCCATGAAAATAACTAGTAAAACATAATAAACAGATTGTAAATTATTTAACCACCTGTTTATTTCTTTCTTAACTTGTAAATCATAATAAACCTAAATTGTGTTTATCTTTGGTGGCTTATTCCCAAAGAAAAGAATTACGGACTTTTTTTATTTCTTTCTTTCTCATATATACAAATCATATTAAGTTAGGGTTTTAAATTTGCATTTCTAAGGGTTAGAGTATCGTTTTTGAGATCAAACGAAAAGATGTCGATCTTCGAGTACAATGGAAGTGCCCTAGTTGCTATGGTAGGTAAGAACTGCTTCGCCATTGCCAGCGATCGAAGACTCGGTGTTCAGCTTCAGACCATAGCCACCGATTTCCAAAGGATTTCCAAAATTCACGATAAGCTCTTCATCGGTCTTTCTGGACTCGCCACCGATTCTCAGACACTGTAACCTTCTTCTCACTTTTGTTTTTTTTAAAATTTTTTTACTTTTTATTTTGCCATTTTCTGATTTTTGTTCTTGTTGTTATTCGTGATTCTAGGTATCAGCGATTCGTTTTTCGTCACAAACTGTATAAGCTCCGTGAAGAGCGCGATATGAAGCCGGAGACATTTGCTAGCTTAGTGTCTGCTATTCTTTACGAGAAACGGTATTGCTATTTAGATCTTGATTTTGTTTTTGAAAAGAGAAGCTTATTTTGTGAAGAAAATTGAATGATTTGTCTGTTTTTTTTTTGTGTGTGGAATTAGGGGAGATCTATTTGATGATTGTAAATATTTTAGATGCACTAAGATTAGCTCAAGTTTATGAGTATGTATAAGGTTTTAAATAACGGTTGTGTTGCAATTGCGTTAAGGCTTTCACGATTTCGGTCGGTACATGTCTTGTAACGCTGATTGCGGTCATCGCGGTGTGAATTAATCACAATTTGTTCTTTATCTTAAAAACGGTGAATAACGGTTTCGGTATTGGCATCTTCAGATACCGTTTTGTCGCTGTGTTTTTTGGGGTAGCAGCCTGTTTTTTAAAAGCCACAAACCTTGTGGCTTTTTTTATATTTTGACATTTTTTTATGTGTGACCCTAAAAACACTCGGCGTGACACCAAAGATATTTTTTGTGCTCATTAGTGGCGGGAGTAGTGGGATTGGATCAATAGTTAGGTCACCAAATGCATGGTTGCAAATTGCAACTGAAATTTCAAACTCAGTATAAAGGTTTTGGACCCCCCTGCAACTATGTCACAATCTTAATTTGAGGTGTATCCTCAATTTTCTGTATTATGAAGGACTTCCATGCAATAGTGATAACAACCAGAGTTTTAAATCTAGGCGAAGTATATTAGGGCAGTGACTGGTAGACTGGTTAAAACAGAACAAAACTAGTGTTTGGTTCATATTATGAGTAGAACAGAACAGGGCATAAGGCAGAAAAGTAATTCATTTTGGTTCTACTCAAAAGGTGAAATGGAAGATTATAGAACAGGCTGTCTAGACCGTGACTTATTTTGTTCTCTCTGTGCTAACTGCTATCTATTCTCAACATCGGTGTATAGTATTAGGTTTGGGGTTTGACCATTGAGTGGATACCTGTTTTAATTGATCATGGTCAATTTTCTATCTGATTTGCTGATGGTCATAGACTATAGCTTGTTGTAGTTTGAACCCTCTGAAATTCTAATTCTCCTGTTTGCATACCTGATAACATCACAACATATCACATTAAACTATAAGATTGTGTACTCTTTTTTGTTATGTTTACAAATTATTGTGTTGAAACTTTATAAACTAAGTATGCTTTCTTTTTCCTTTTAGGTTTGGTCCATACTTTTGTCAGCCTGTAATTGCTGGACTAGGGGATGATGACAAACCATTCATTTGCACAATGGATGCAATTGGAGCAAAGTAAGTTCAATTGCTCTTTTGTCCCTATATTATCTTGGAGAGAGAGGTCTGCATGCCTTGAAAGTTGTAAATGTTTGCAATGTGTATAATTGTAGTGCTATTGCATATAAGAAAACATAATACTGCATGGGATATTTCAGAAATGTTTTGTGCTCGAGTTTTATTAGTGTAGAAGTTGGTGATTTCTATTGTGTGATAGAAAACAAGTAAAAAAATCAAGTGCGTAAAGAATATGAAGTTAGAGCATGTTGGAGCCGTGACATAAATGGCATTGGTTTCTTTTATAATAAATTTAAGTACTGGACCAAATTTATGAATTGTGATTTGTGAAACTGGAAGCTAATAAGTTGAATACTTGTGTTGTGTGTGTTGGTCTATTCAGTTGGAGTAGATACTCCGATATCATGAAAAGGTGTCTTTGGCATAACACTTGATTTCAGATAAGATTTGGTATTTATCTTGTATTTTGTGTATAGTACCATGCCTTTATACTTGGGTTTCACTAACAGATATGATAAGGGGTAGCACTCTTGCCTCTCAGCCCAACTATCACTGTATTTCAAATAGTTTTGCAGGGCATTGTGTACTTATAGCCTGTGTATGGCAAACATATTTACTTGGTCTACTGTTTCTCACCTCAATCCCCTAATTAATGAGGAAGAGGTGTTCTTCCCAAAAAAGGGGGTAGTTGCTTTGCTCCCTATTGTGATATCCTCTAAACACCTTATTGAAGCTTTACTACTGATGGCTGCTTCTAGTGCCTTTTCCCAATATGGAGAATTCCAACAAGGAAGGGCAACTACTTTGCTTCATTGATTTTCTTCGTTGTCTTGATTTTTTAATTTTTTTTATTCTTTGCTTAGGAGATGGGTGATTACTTATCCTCCCATCTCTGCATAAATTCTATTTGAGTTAGTGATTTCATTCCTTTAGTAAAAACTAAAAACAACAAATAATGGTAATATGCATAGAACGACGTGTTGTTTGAGATGCGTACTTGTTTATAACAATTTGCAAGTCATTCTCGATTCGGCACACTTTGACGCCCAAGCTGTTATTTAGATAGCAGCCACACTGAAATGTACTCCCAGGACAAGCTTTGAAAAACAATGCTTTTATGCTATATTTTTTGTGTTTTTTTCAGATGTTACTTTTAGCTTTTGTAACAGCACCGAAACAATATTTTTGAGAAGTTGCTACAACAATTTGTAAATATGCTTTTTGCAACAATTTCTTATATATATGTAAGCTACATTAATAAGATTCTAACATTTTTAATATTTTGTATATACAGGGAGCTTGCAAAAGATTTTGTTGTTGCCGGTACTGCATCTGAGTCTCTGTATGGTGCTTGTGAATCGATGTTTAAGCCTGACATGGTTTGTCCCAAAGTTTAACCTGTTTTGTCTGTTTATTCACTTGTTTTGGTTATGTTTAATAACAAATAAGCATATCTAAACAGACATGTTTATAAACTACCATATTTTCACTTGGGAGTAAATACACTCATTAACATATACACTCACACAAGCCAGACTTTTTCACACTCTTTTTTATTGGTTAAAATTCACATGGGTCCAATGCAAGTTTTTGTGTGAATTATAACCATAAATGAGTGTGTTGAAAAATGTGTTGAAAGCAAATAGTGTCAGAACTGAGTCAGAAAATAATAAAGTAAGGGGACAACAAAATCTCTCTACATGCTCAACATCTTTTGTGGAAGGCATCATCAAGCCTTCATTATCAGGTGGTTTTCAAGAAATGGGGATTTAGGATTGTATCTTCAGTTTCTGGTTTTGATGGAGCTGATAAGATCATATAACAGGGAACTGATTGTAGGAGAGATGTTAGGGCCCCACATAGATGGAAGATGTTCCGCCCCTAGTTGCCTAACTGCTGCATGAGTTGCCTTCATTGCAACCTCCAACACCTTCACTATGATGGGTTTGAAGGGGTGGATTTAGTTTCATATTACTTAGAGATATGACATGTGTATTGTTTAAAAAGCTTGGGCATTCCCTTACTTTATAAGCCGGTTTTGTAAGGTTGAGTTAGGCCCAACCACAATTCTTAAGACACCATATTGATTTTTTTAAGGGAAAGATACTTGGTTATCGACCTTCGTAGTGTTCAGGCTTGAACAAAAGCTGGATCCAAGCATGGAAATTTAATGCAGGTTTGGATTTGGAGGATATTTCCTAAACCTGAAGAGCACACCTTTATCCAGGGTATATGTTAGAGGGAAACCACAAAACTTAACTAGTAAAGATCAGCAAGGTAGATGCTGACTTCTGCTTAATTTCATTCAAGCAGTTCAAGATTGAGTTTGAGCTACATTATAGGGCCATAGACAAGTTCTATAGGAGGATCAATTGGTTGAAGGGCAGGGCAAACGGTACGAGCAGAAAAAATTGGGGTTAATTTAAATAGTTATCGAGTTATAAAAATGCAACAGTAGTGTGCAATGTCTGACTTCAGAGTGTAAATTAGATGTTCTTTAGTGTGAAGTCCATTTAGCTATTCCACAATTTTGCATTTGTATCTTCCACTAAGATCTGCACATAGTCACACTAGCATTTTTGCTTAGCTTGATAGATTTTCTAAACATTGTTTCTCCATGTTCGGCAAAGAAAGTGAACTTATGTTTTTTTCTGCTTTGTTTCTTAATACAGGAAGCCGAGGAATTGTTTGAAACCATTTCCCAAGCACTGTTATCATCTGTAGACCGCGACTGTCTCAGTGGCTGGGGTGGACATGTCTATGTTGTGTAAGTTTATAAGTTTTATTCTTTTTTAGCAGTCTATTCTTGGGATTTCTACATATTGTGTCATAAGTTACTTTTCCTTTAAATGCACCTGTCATAAGTTCACTTTATTTACATTAGCCCATCTTTTACAAGCCACTGGGTTGGATGCCAGTGAGTTTTGATATGTTTGGTTGCTAAGTGAAATTGGCTGTGCTTCAGTGTCAGTGCTGGTGACTTTTAAAAGCTGCTACCCTTTCATCTTTCATTTTTGAAGCTTAATTAGGTTTGGTTTTATCCTATTCATTTGTAAGATAATATCTGTGGCTTATTGGTCTTTGAATTTGTCTGCCGCAGCACGCCAACAGAAGTAAAGGAAAGGATTTTGAAGGGAAGAATGGATTAACTTTTAAGCCATCTACTAAACTACTTCAGCTCATCAACTCAACCACTTCAGTTCACTTTGTTTTCTGTTTAATTCTGAGCTGAATGTCAGAACATGTACACCATCAGTTGTTAATGGGTACCTTGTTATTGTGCACTTCAATTAAACGAACCCAGAAAATTATTTACAAACTGGTTCAGATGTTCTATATAGATTTTTTAAGATTATCTGCAAAAGTAGATTCTGGAATCGGGTATGTTGTGAATTAAATTATGAGAGATGCATTGGAATGTTTCTAGCAGGAGAGGCTTGCAAACACACAAGTCATGCACGTTTCAGAATCCAATTCACGCAGTCCTTAAAATGTTTTTCGTATGGCAGTGATTGTGATTCGGTAGTTTGGTAGTTTGTGGAGGAAGTAGTAAGAACATGACTTCAATTTTCATTAAACAAAATCAAAACCAATATTTTTCCTTTTACTAAAAAAAGATTCACACTAAGATACTAAATCCATGAAGTAAAATTATATTGTTAAACTCTTGAAATAAACAATTTCATAAATTATGATTGAATTTGTTTTTAAAAAAAAATAAGTGTTAAAAGTTTTTCATTGGTTGAAAAAAACATACTTAACAATTTTTATTTTTTTTAAAGCCAATCAAATTTTGCACACAATTATAGCTAAAATGATGATGTTTTAAGAATCTTAAACGAAAGACCTTATATAATTTGACCAAAAAAAAAGGCCTTATGTAATAGAAAGAGAGGTATTGAAGGACAGAGAGAATTGCATTCTGTTGTGCTATTTCAAAAATGTTATAAAATTAGTTAGATAACTTTTAAAGCTAGTTAGAGAACTCGGAAAGTGAGTTTATAAAGGATAACAAACTGTAACTAATTTGTTGACTCATCAAAATTAGTTATTCACAATCAGAGTTAGTTGCAAGTTTGTTAAAGAATGTATTACTCTATTATCTTCCCTTAAACTTAGTCAGCAAATCAACATATTGATCCATATCAGGACTATGTTGCACAATTAGGTTTTTGGCAATGAATTTTTCCTAAGAAAAAAGATAACCAACTCCATATATTTGATTTTGGCATGGTTAGATAAAACCACATTGTTTAAGTTGTTGCAGAATAAGATAGGCTTGGTGCAGGGAACCTGAAGTTTATTTAAGAGAGATTGAATTCACATGACTTCTAAAGCTGTGTTGGTTAAGCTTATGTATTCGGCTTTAGACCCAGCAACAAATGTTTAAAAGTCTTTAACTAACAAATATTAGCTTTTGATTTTTTATAAATAGAATTTTTTCAACCTAAACAAGCTATTAATCGGACTACAATAATGAAAATTAAGATGGGTAGTTTGTGTTGATAATAATATAATATATCGGAAAGAATAGTACTTTTATAGACATGACAATGAATCCCAATTTTGAAGACAATAAAAAACTAGCTTGTCATATTAACTTTTTAAAATACTTTCTTATAGACAATAAGTTTTTTCTAGTATCATCTAATAAGTTTTTTTTTTTGTTTTTCCTATAATTATTCAAAACCATAAAAATAGTCATTACTAGTTAGTAGTAGATCTACGACTATGTTTCCAATTCCAAACCAAAATCCCCAACACAGATAACACCATAACCATAAGTAACACATTCTAACAACAACATTAACATTCTTCATCGTTCAAAACAAAACCCGTTCTCAGTTCCAATGTTCCAATCCATTTCGCAATGCCTCAATTCATCAACCTCCACTCTATTCCATGCTCGACAAGCTCACGCACTTTTCCTCAAATTCGATCTCTTTTCCAACACCCAACTCACCACAAGTCTCCTCACTCTCTATTCTCACTACCTTCCCTTCCCACAACTCAACATTATCCTCTCCTCTCTCCCTCAACCCACAATCTTCTCTTTCTCCTCCATTGTTCATGCTTTTGCTAGGTCACATCACTTCCATCATGTTCTTGGTGCGTTTTCTCATATGGGTTCTCGTGGTCTTGTTCCCGATAGTTATCTACTTCCTAGTGCTATCAAGGCTTGTGGTATATTGAAAGCGTTGAAACCTGGTAGACAGGTTCATGGTTATGCTGCTGTTTCTGGGTTTGGTTCTGATTCTATTTTGGTGTCTTCTTTGGTTCATATGTATTTGAAATGTAATAGAATTGAAGATGCACATAAACTGTTTGATAGTATGTCTGAAAGAGATGTGATTGGTTGGAGTGCTATGATTGCGGGTTACTCGAGAATAGGGCTTGTTGATAGGGCTAGAGAGCTTTTTTCGGAGATGAGAAACGAGGGTGTGGAACCGAATTTGGTGTCGTGGAATGGTATGATTGCTGGGTTTGGAAATGCAGGGTCTTATATTGAGGCGGTGATGTTGTTTCGTGAGATGATATCGGAAGGGTTTTTGCCTGATGGGTCTACTGTTTCTTGTGTTTTGCCTGTTATTGGGAACTTGGAGGATGTTTTGATGGGCGAACAGGTTCATGGGTATGCAATCAAGCAGGGTTTGGAATCAGATAATTTTGTGCTGAGTGCACTTCTTGACATGTATGGAAGATGTGGATGTGCATCTGAGATGTCTAGGGTGTTTGATGGAATTGATCAAACGGAAATAGGTTCTTTGAATGCTTTCCTTACTGGGTTGTCGCGCAATGGTTTGGTTGATACTGCATTGGAGGTGTTTAAGAAGTTTAAAGCTCGAGAAATGGAGTTGAATGTTGTGACATGGACATCAATAATTGCTAGCTGCTCCCAGAATGGGAAAGACATGGAAGCTTTGGAGTTTTTTAAAGATATGCAGGCTGATGGTGTGGAGCCTAATGCTGTCACTATCCCAAGTTTGATCCCTGCTTGTGGAAATATTTCAGCGTTAACGCATGGAAAGGAAATCCATTGTTTTTCTCTCAGGAAGGGAATTTTCGATGATGTATATGTAGGCAGTGCATTGATCAATATGTATGCCAATTGCGGAAGAATCCAGTTATCACGGCGTTGTTTTGATCTAATGCCATCTCGGAATATGGTTTCTTGGAATGCAGTTATGAGTGGTTATGCTATGCATGGAAAAGCTAAGGAAACATTTGAGATGTTTCATATGATGTTGCAAACCGACCATAAGCCCAACTCAATTACCTTCACATGTGTGTTATCTGCGTGCTCCCAAAACGGCTTAACAGAAGAGGGATGGAATTACTTTAATAGCATGTCGAAAGAATACGATGTTAAACCTCAGATGGAACATTATGCTTGCATGGTTACGCTGCTCAGTCGTGTAGGAAAACTAGAAGAAGCTTATTCTATCGTCAAGGAAATGTCATTTGAACCAGATGCTTGTGTTTGGGGAGCCTTGTTAAGTTCTTGTAGAGTTCACCATAATTTGAGTTTAGCTGAGATTGCGGCAGAGAAGCTTTTCCTGTTAGAACCAGAAAATCCTGGGAACTACATTCTTCTTTCCAATATTTATGCTTCAAAGGGTATGTGGGATGAAGAGAATAGAATACGCGATATGATGAAGGATAAAGGTTTGAGAAAAAATCCTGGCTGTAGTTGGATTGAAATCGGACGGAGGGTACACACGCTTCTTTCTGGCGACAAATCACATCCACAAATGAAAGAGATTTTGGCGAAGTCAGATAAGTTGAGTATTGAGATTAAGAATTCTGGTTACCTCCCGATGACTAAATCTGTGCTGCAAGATGTGGAGGAACAAGACAAAGAGCAGATATTGTGTGGTCACAGTGAGAAACTGGCAGTAATATTAGGACTAATCAACACGAATCCCAGACAACCTCTTCAGGTGATCAAGAACCTGAGAATTTGTGATGACTGTCATGCTGTTATCAAAATTATAAGCAGAATAGAAGACAGAGAAATTTTTGTAAGAGACACAAATCGTTTTCACCATTTCAAAGACGGCGATTGCTCTTGTGGAGATTTCTGGTAAAACTGCTCATGGCTCTTACCGGTGGATCAGAAAACAGACTGATTAATCAAGAATGCTTGTGTTAATAATGCTCTGATTAATGCTTTGAGTTAATCACCTTGACAACAAGGATCTCTTGGGCTATGCTTCTGATTTTCAGTCTTCAATGTGATGAGGAGAGCGTGCTAACAGTCCCACATTAGATGTGTTTCTAAGCCGGTTTTATAGGATTGAACAAGGCCTAATTCAAATTTTTAGAACTAGAATCAAAGACTTCAATTTGAGGTACATCTCATAATCTGATTCCTCACCGCCTCAAAACTTTCCAGTATTTTTCTCTGGGAAAGATTTTTTAATTCTTTTCTGTTGGTATTGTTTTTTTTGTTAAATGACAGTAAAATTTTTACAGCTTGAAATATTTACTTCTTTAACACTGATCACATTATGCATTTGTTTAGAAGGTCTGGAGCAATTGTCGTCTAGATATCTGAACAATTTTGCTGAATTTTATTAGCTCCAGAACTTCCGGTCATTCCAGTTAGTTGAAAATTAGACATGGGATCAGTGTTGTCCCGCTATCAAACAGTTTATGTGCATCTTCAATTCTATTACATTTCAAATACATATGAATCAAAGAAGACACCAAAATAGAATCAGAACCAAACCCAGAAACAGCAGCATAACCATGAACCTGTCTACCAGGTTTCAACGCTTTCAATATACCACAAGCCTTGATAGCACTAGGAAGTAGATAACTATCGGGAACAAGACCACGAGAACCCATATGAGAAAACGCGCCAAGAACATGATGGAAGTGATGTGACCTAGCAAAAGCATGAACAATGGAGGAGAAAGAGAAGATTGTGGGTTGAGGGAGAGAGGAGAGGATAATGTTGAGTTGTGGGAAGGGAAGGTAGTGAGAATAGAGAGTGAGGAGACTTGTGGTGAGTTGGGTGTTGGAAAAGAGATCGAATTTGAGGAAAAGTGCGTGAGCTTGTCGAGCATGGAATAGAGTGGAGGTTGATGAATTGAGGCATTGCGAAATGGATTGGAACATTGGAACTGATAACGGGTTTTGTTTTGAACGATGAAGAATGTTAGTGTTGTTGTTAGAATGTGTTACTTATGGTTATTGTGTTATTTTTGGTTTGGAATTGGAAACATAGTCGTGTAGGTTTGTTTGTCCTGCACTTGTGTTCCAGTTTACATAGTCGTAGATTGATCCAATATCTGAGTATCGTGGCCGCTGGTCAAGTGTTCGTTTTTTATTTGTACAAGAAAAATAGTGATCGCTTTTTTATATTTGAAAATTGTATTTTGATTTATTTGAAAATAGTAAGTAGGGTTTGTTCCTGGGCGGGCATAAGACATACTCAAGGGGGCAGTTAAAAAGACTTGTGTGCATACTCAAGGGGGTCATGAAAGTTGTTGAAAATTGAATGAGGATGTTGAAAAAGGAAAGTGAATGGAATTAGTAAAAGTCAACAAGTGTAGTTAGTCTCTTCCGCCGCACTAGCAGACTCAGTTTTTGGATTTGAATCATCATTCCAAATCATTACCTCTCTCACTCACTTTCATTTTTCCACCCTCTAATCACAATGTGACGTCATATCTATATTCAAATCAAAACTGTACTATTCAAATTTTAAAACGATTGATTGCAATTGAGTGCTGTCGCCATATAATGTGGCACCGAAAGAGAGGAGGGATCCTCTCCCGTGTCAATTTTTTTGGAGAGGGAGGAGTGATTTTTCATGTCTTTAAAACACCTCATATTTTTATTTATTTTTAATATTACCATGAATGGGTCATATATCATATTGCTTAATAATTTTGTAATAAAATAATATATTTTTATTAATATATTGAAAATAGTATAATAAATAATAATTAAAAAAACAAGTAGAAAGAAAAAGTAATAATTGTTACGTTTAAAAAGTGAGAATGAAAATCATTTTAAAATAAATTTTATTTATTAAAACGACAGTCATTTTGAAACGGATGAAATATAATTTATGACAATTTAAAAAAGCACTATTAATCTCTTACAATCTCTTAACTGTAATAATTTTTGGAGTCGCGTCTCTCGACGTTAGATTGCTTCATGATTAAATCTGGATAAGAAAACAATATTGAATACTTTAGTTAGTGATTTTTGTCCGTCATTGGATTCTCTTAAATTATTAACTTAACATTCTTGTTGGTCTCTCATCTTTAACTTAAAGTCCATTTTGATCCCTTAATTTTAAAAAAGATCAGTTTGATCAATTATCTTTTCAAATTGCGTCACATTAGTCTCTTCTGCTAGGTATGTTAGTCAAAGTAAAAAAAAAATGGGTCACTTGACATATACCTGACGCTGATGTGAATTAAACATTATAATAAAACTCAAATGCTAAAGTAAAATTTTATTTCACTTGTAAAACGAAAACCCTAGCGGAGAAGAGAAGTGGAAAAGGAGCGAAATTGAAATAGAAGGCGAACAAACAAGGTGAAATCAAAGGAGAAACTGAAGTTGAAATCTTGGCCGAAGTCAAAGAAGATAGGCAAATGCGCCACTGTTGACAATAGTTAGTAATTAGCTTTAGGATTTTGTCTTGTAACTGTTAGCTGAGTTTTTAGGATTTATTTATATTAAAATGTTATTTGTATTGGATGTTAGGACTATATGCATGCAGTTGTTAAATTTTTAGGTATTCATATGTTAGTTGTAGACGTGTTATATGCCTTGATGGTTGTTTTTTAAATGGTCTTCGAGGAAGACAAATTTTGGTAGCAATTGGAAGAAACCTTAATGATCAGATATTGCCAATAACTTTTACAGTTGTGCAAGGTGAAACAAAAGGCAGTTGAACTTGATTTTTAGAGCTCTTGATTGATGATCTTTGAGGTATGGGTGAATATATTTCCTACACATTCATTTCATATCAATAAAAGATATGTTGTATTGTAATTTCTCTTTTTTTTTGTTATTGTAGTCAAGCTAATCAACAAACTCAACAAGTCATTGCAATCAACCAAGTCAACAAACACAAATTACTCTCACAACTCAAAGAAGTCAAGTTTCTCAACTATCACAAGCTAATTAACAAAAGGCAAAGAAGTTTAGTGTTAGGAAAAAATCAACATCAGGTGTAACGCCAAAAACCTACAACCAGATTAAGTGCAACAAAAAATGCGGTTTACCCAACTACAAGGAGGAGTACGCCAACAAAGAGGATCACTCCAACCAAGAAAATTAATTAGCATATTTAGGAATTGTCTGATGAATGTTTTATTTTGTATTTTGAACAAGGAGTCCTTTTTTTTTGTTAGAACCTATCTAAAGAGCTATTTTTGTATGCCTATGTTAATGTTGGCATAATAATGTCTACCAGAACTTGCAAAAAATATGTTTATGTATTCTGAACAAGTTGGTGTAATGTCTAATTTATCAAGCTCTTTCTGTTTATGACAAATGTAATGTCTGGTTTGAATCATGTTATACATTGTACTATGTAGAGAGTTGAATAATGTTACACACTGAATTATGTTGAATTATATACACAGAGTTGACATAACTAGTAATAAAAAACTGATAATATTGATCATGCAACACAACTGATACCATTCCATTTAACAATGTGGTACATATTGAAAAAATTACTGATATCATTCAATTTAACAAACTGGTACTTGCTATTGATACATAACTTCAAAATGGTACAAAACTAAAACATCCTTAAAACTAATACAATGAAAACAAGAAAAATCATTATCTTCCAAAAAATGCTTCCAATTGATAATGTTCTTCATTTGAATGTAAAGTTCCAACAAATTTGTCTTTTTTGCTCATTTGTCACCCTTAGCTTTTCAACCTCTATTTTTGTTGTATCAATTTCCTTTGTTAAATTTTCCAACCTACATTTTTTATTCATAAAAAATTAGTCCTTCTCATCTCCCACTTCTTCATAGAACCAATTAAAAAAGTCACACCCAACTTGAGTTAATCCCTATGTAAATCAAGAAACCAATGAACAATATTATACCATAATTTATGAATAATGAAGGTTTTTTTAATAGAAGTCCTACCATAAAATATGGACAACCTCAATTTTTTTTTCCAAAATTACTAAATGTTGTTGCTATGCAAAAAACAACCATGTGAGCACAACGAAAACTAGGTTTCCATCACAGATTGGAACTTGTACATACCTTAGAATCAAAACTTCCATAGCTCGTTTGTTTCATATTGGATGAACAACGACCATAACTCATGCTTGGTAGAACTCACGATTTTAAACAATGCGGATGGAACAACAATGAAGGTTTTACCCTAATTCGATTTAGGGTTCTTTCTATTTTATAGAGATTTCCAAAAAAAAACGTGGCAAAGTCATAATCTTATAACCTCTTAGCAGCGGACCATTTTATACAACCATTTATAATAAGGATTCTTATACAAATGTATATCCATGAATTTTGTATGTATCCTAAAATATCTCTGGATAATATTGTCTATAAAGTTGTGATTCAATAATCGTTGTTCATGAGGTATATTCTTGGTTGTAGCTGATTAACACCACATATTTTATTTGAGGGAGGGGGGGTTGAAATCTTATTGATATTAATCATGGGGTGAAGTGTTCCCCTTGAAGTGTTCTCATTCGAGTTTATGGTACCATTGGTGCATTATATTAGGAAAAATGATTAAATATATGTGTATGTTCGTCGTCAAAACAACTGGCTAATCTTGATAAAGGGGAACCCACGAGGATTAGAGCGCTTATATTAAGTTATTAAGTTAGTTTATTCAGAGGGTAATAATTGATATATCTTGGAGCCACAAGATTGGTGAATAATTAAGTGTGGTGAGGGAGAGAGTGAGACAGAATGAGAGAGAGTAATTAAGGGTGAAAACATGAGCATTAATTCATTAATGAGATACCAAAGGGATATATATATATATATATATATATATATATATATATATATATATATATATATATATATATATATATATATATATATATATATATATA